CCCAGAGGTGCCAAAGCAGCTTGCATTCATAAAGCAGGGAGGGCCTAGAGAATAGCAATTATCCACTCTCACCCATGTCTCTAGCGCACCTACTCTCAGCAGCCTTGGAGTTAACTAGACCTCATTTATGCCACGGATACTACTCACCCATGAAAAGGAACAATATAATGGATGCAACTGGAGACCATTATTCTAAGTGAAGTAACTGAGGAGTAGAAAACCAAACATCTTAGGTTCTCACTCCTAAGTGGGAACTAAGCTATGAGGGTACAAAGGCATAAGAATGATACAATGGGTTCTGGGGCCTTGGGGGAAAGGGCAGGAGGTGGATGACGGATAAAACACTAAACATTGGGTAGTGTACACTGCTCAGGTGATGAGTGCACCAAAATCTCAAAAGTCACCACTGAAAAATGAGAAAGCAGAAACTGTTTTCTACATATGTTCCAAATCATATTAAATGTTCAATTTTTCTTCAAAAACAAGCCAGCACTAGTACCAAGTGTTAGAAATAAAAAACATTAAAATTTCAATTATTCATTTTGAAATAAAGAACTATATATTTTTTTGTGGTGGTGAGTTTGTTGTGGTGTAACCAAACACGTGTTACCCCAAAAACTACTTAAATAAAAAAAATAAAAAAATTTAAAAGTCTACGATAGAGAAAGGTCTCATGAATCTCATGAATCTGTAAGTCATACTTCTGACAGCATGCCAAATAGATTTGTGTATTTGCATGTTGTGTATACAATATTTCTCTACTATAAAGAGCTCTAATTCATGGGCTTAAAGAAAAATACAAGTACATATGTCAACCATTTTATCAATAAAAAGACTAGCCAAATGCTTTTTCACATTTATGTGACTTAAGTAAAACCTTTTATAAATAAGCTGGTTTTCGAATTATTGAGAAAGTGTTAGAAATGCTGTGAAAATTCCTAGCATTGCTCTTTGCATTTGTCGATCACGTGATTTCATGCTTATTCCTGCAGAATACGATGAAGATTTGTTATAAGGGTTATAAAACTATACAACCCGGCCCAAGACAGAATGGTCTTTGCTTGTGTAATTTTTCATAAAAAAGACATAAAATAATTTGGCTTAATGAAAACATCTACATTCTGAGTTATTGGTAAAATACTCTTATATTTAACCTTAAGAAAAGTACTTAAATGGGGTGGGAACAGTGGCTCATGCCTCTAATTTGGGAGTACATCAGGAGGCCAAGGGGGGTCGATCACTTGAAGAGAGAAGTTCAAGACCAGCCTGGCCAACATGGTGAAACCCTGTCTCTCCTAAAAATACAGAAAAAATTAGCCTGTGTGGTGAGCACCTGTAGTCCCAGCTACTTGGGAAGCTGAGGCAAGAGAATTACTTGAACCCAGGAGGTGGAGGTGGCAGTGAACCCAGGTTGCACCACTGCACTCCAGCCTGGGCAATAAAAGCAAAACTGTCTCAAACAAACAGAAAAGAAAATTACTTAAACACCTGAAATTCACAGCTATAAAAATGGTTAACAGGGAATTTACTTTAAATAATGACTATCACAGTTTTCATCAACTAGATAAAACATTAATCTAATAAATGGTTATAAACAGACTTGTCATATGATTTGGTATCTAAGGTTATTAACAGATATAAAGTAGCTGGGTAATTTCCAACTCAAAAAATGTAGAAAAACGTTTTTAAAATGTTCTTATTAGGAGGTCAATATCTTTGTCTAATTCAAAGTTTCATAAAAGTTATGTATAAAATGATGTAATAGGAACCAGGAAATAAGAGAAGAAACTTAAAGATATAAAAAAGTATTTTTGATAAAGGTGAAAAAAAGCAATTTTATATAAGAAGGAATCTTGTGTGGTAAATTTTTTGTTCTAAAATAAAATGACCAGGTTGTTCAAGAAAGAAAATATTTAGGCAAAACAGAAAGTCTAAGCATGTTGTGAATCATCTATGTAAATTGATAATAAGATTAGTTAATGGAAACTTCACTTTTTTTTTTTTTTTTTAGAAAACAGGGTGGTATAATTTAGTTGAATATGAGTAAGAAGAAAATCCTAATAGTCTTTCCAGAGGTGGGTCTTTTATATTAACAAAATTACACAAATACAAACTATAATTCATTAAAACAAGACTTTATTTAAAATATTTAGTTATTTACTAATGAGACAGAGTTTCACTCTGTCACCCTGAACTGCACTGGTGCAATCCTGGTTCACTGCAACCTTTGCCTCCTGGGTTCCAGGAATTCCATCACAACTTTGCTTAAGTTTCTCTCCTTTCCCCAGCTCCCGGACTCTGCTCTGCCTTCAGTCTGAGCCAACATACAGACCCCATTTATGCCCCTCCTAAGAACAGGCTGACTTCTGGCTGAAACATTCCCTCAGCTTGAATCTGATTTTGCCATTCTCCACTCTTCCTCCCACCTTCCTTCTAATCTTGCTTGCTCCTCCATAAAAAACACAGCCCTTTTATGCCTTTTATGAGATGCTTGCAGATCTGATGCCTGGCGATTTCCCCATTGTAATACTCCTTTAGAATAAAATCACGTCTTACCTACATCAGAATTTATTTGACAATATCTGGAAACAGCCTCGGGACAATAACAATTATTCCCTCAAAGAGGACATCACAACCCATCTATTCTCAACTCTGATCATGTCTGCCTGTGCATTCCCAGCTTTCAAGAGCTCTGTAGCTTCTCTCAGTATAAAGACCCCGTCTATGGCTGCTGCAAGCAGGCTGGGACACCCGAAGGGGAGGACCCTCAGGAAGAAGACTGTGCTATTCATGAACTCCTTTGACATATCTGAATACTAATACTGCAATTTGGGAAAAAAAATATTTTTAAAAAACAAAAAAGTTATCTTTTAAAATCTAAAAAATTTAAATCATTGTTTTAAAAGCCTTACACAAGCCGGGTGCCCCTGTAATCCCAGCTACTTAAAACACTTAATTAAGGAGGGAGGCTGAGGCAGGAGAATGGCTTGGACCCAGGAGGTGGAAATTGCATTGAACTGAGATCACACCACTGCCCCCTAGCCTGGCAACAGAGACTCATCTGAAAACAAAACAAAAAAAGCCTGACACCATTCACAGCTATCAGCCGACACACTAAGCAAGCATCTGTGAGTGGGCAGAAGGAGCCTACACTTTGGAGTGATTTCTATAACTCTGTTTACATTAAAAGAAACAGAAGGGTGAAGACTGTGTTGTTGCCCTGACAAGGTCCCATTCTTTATTATAAAGGGCAATCTTAGTTGTCTTTGAGTTAACTTAAATTGAGGTATTTCTTCTTTTGAAAATACAAACATCTCTAGTTATTTAGCAGGAGAGGTGGTATTTTCCTGTCTTTTTTGGTGAGGGATTCAGATGTTACATGACCCCTCATTTCTTCCTTCAGGAGAGGATGGCCTTAGCGCGCTGAAGACTAGTTAAGTCATCAACGCTCAAAGACCCGGTCTTGCGAGCAGTATAGAACACTTTGTCTTGTTCCATCCTTGATAAAGCCTAAGAATGTCAAATAGAAAAGAGGTACAATTTTAAAAAGGGTTCTATCCTTTTAACAATCACCACTGATGGGAAGCCACACATGCAGATCCTTTAGCTAGTTCAGCTACAGCTACTTTGGCTGAGGTTTACACGCCCCCTTCTGGCAGCTTACTTAGGCCATCTCCTTTCAGGGCTAGAATTAGATTGCGGGAGCAAAGGGGAGCTTGCTTTATTAAGTTACTTAAAAATTGGGCTCCCCAGAATGTCACCGTATTGTGACAGGCTTCTAACAGTATTATCTGTTACCTGTGCACTTGTGCCTTAAAAATAATGAAAGCACAGTTTTGCAAAAAGTTAGTTTATTAATCTATTCACATTCTACCCAATCTACAAGTTATTATATACTCACAGAAAATTGTAACCGGGCAGGCATGTACTGGATTGTATTGAAATGTCATCAAAGTCTAATGATTAGGTGTCAAAAGGCACTACTTTTATGCTTATGGTAGAAAATTGTATTATTTTAAAATATTTCCATGATGCCACACACGCCTATTTTAAATGTTCCTCCTTGTCAGTTGTAATTTTGCTGTGTACTTACCAAAAGTCACAAACCATAAATATTACTTTGTTCCATAAAAGTGATCATTTCCAGTAAAATCCCATGTACTTCCTGCAGCCAGTACTTGAGACACGCATGCCTCATACTGTCTAAGTGCATGTCTCTTGGCTTAGGCACTAATGGTTTCTCTAACACGCCCATAGGACTGACTGCACTGTGGAATACACAGTAGAAAATGATAGAAATTTGCAAACCGAGTAACAAAAAGTAGTCAAGAGTGGTAAGTGCATTACGTATGTAGACATCATTAGAAATACAATGGCAGGTCGGGCGCAGTGGCTCAAGCCTGTAATCCGAGCACTTTGGGAGGCTGAGGCGGGTGGATCACGAGGTCAAAAGATCGAGACCATCCTAGTCAACATGGTGAAACCCCGTCTCTACTAAAAATACAAAAAATTAGCCGGGCGTGGGGGTGCATGCCTGTAATCCCAGCTACTCAGGAGGCTGAGGCAGGAGAATTGCCTGAACCCAGGAGGCGGAGGTTGTGGTGAGCCGAGATCGCGCCATTGCACTCCAGCCTGGGTAACAAGAGCGAAACTCCGTCTCAAAAAAAAAAAAAAAAAAAGAAGTACAATGGCAAGAAATCATTTCTGTATATTATTTACAAGGGCAAAGGTTCAAAGTGTTCAAATTCATTAAGAATAAATTTAATTTGATTAAAACATTCTGAATTATGGCCACAAAAGAGACAACATCTATAATTTTCCAAAAATGTGAATCCTTAGAAAAACCATAAGAGATACAGGAAATAGAATGCCAAAAGGTTAATAAGCTCTTCAGTATGTTAATTTTGAAGCTTTTTCTAATCACTACTTCATATGACATAGTCATAAATGTTGGCACTGGTGTTTGACTCAAAACCCACTTAGTTACTTCATAGCCTTACCTGCAGATCCCATGCTCTTTGTGTGTCAAGAAGGCAAATAGGCAAACCCAGGCCATACATGTATACAAGGTCACGAAGACGGAAGTAGTATACGGTATAAATGCTTTTAGAAACGTTAGTATCATAATTAATTAGCTCCAAGAAGTTCATTTCCAACTTATTCCTGGGGAAGGAGAAACACAACAGAACAAACACAGGACCATGTTAGTTCACTGGGCTATCTTCAAAAACATTATTCTCATGTAAGAAATGTGGTAAGGCCATCATGTGCTCTAGTTTATTAGAATTCATAAAATAACTCACTGGACAGAACCCGATCTAGTGAAGAAATACAAGAAGGAGTGCAACTTTCCCAATTCCCTTTGAAAACTCAGAAAAAAACTTGTACCCGAAATGAAACATGAATGTAAAAAATGTTAATAAACTTGATTTTCCCTATGTTCCTTTTCAAAGACATATTCACATTTAACATGGAGAAAGATGACATAAACTTAAGAAACATGGTAAAGGCTTCAGCTTTTTTACTTCTCTGAAAACATGAAAGGATTCAATGGGAAATTCCTTATAAATAGAAACATGTGGTAAGGTCTTCAGTTGTTCCAGTTCCATAAGAAGATAAGAACTCCTTTCTGAAAAAAACCCTATGAATGTATAGAATGTAGAAATGCCTTCATTTACATGATATTTGCTCCAAGACCCATGATAATACACACTGGAGACAGACCTTATAAACATAAGAAAGCACACTGGATTGGAACCCTGGTAGATTACCAAATACAGAAGTTTACAGTTTTAAGAATTTCTTCAACATTGATGTGAAAACTTTCCCTAGAGGGAAATCCTACTCATGTTCATAAATTGAAAAGCCTGATGCAAATTCATTCTTGTATAATCTTCAAAAAGATACATAAGTAAATGTTACCCTACTTCTATTTTGTTTCTCAGTGATTCTTCATTTGAAAGGTTCTCTGTATTACTTCCACTTCTTTTGCAAAAAATCACTTAAGTTACAATTTTGTAGATACTTTTTAAACAATACTATATGCATTTAATAGCAGTTGTTTTTATTAAGTCAGGTAAACAAACTTTTCTCTAGTTATTTAAAAATATCACACTGAGCTACTAGAATGGCTCCAAATTCTGTTTTGACACACTTGGAAGTGGGTTCCTATGCTAATGTCCAAACAGGGCACAGCTGCTTGCAGTGCATTCTGAATCCAGCACCCCAAGATTGGGATGAGGAGAAAGACCTCCTCTGTACTTGTGCAGCTGACTCGGGATCATTCTTGAGCGTTCTATTGCACAACTCAGACTTCCCGGTCACTCCCAAGACACAATAGTGATCAGATGACAGAAATGATGAATGCCATTTATTAGCTGTCACTATTATGGGGCAGGAATACTCTTTACACTTCCAATGGTAGAAAGATCAGAGAGAGACATCTTGGCTAAACTAAACTCATTTTATGAGATGCCTTCTGGTAGGGTGCCAGCCTTACACAGTTTCTCCTGAGTTGTTAGAAATGAAACCCCAAGGTGCTCAGCATCTGTCACCCCTGGCCACAACAGAATGTGGGGATGAGTTGAATGCACTGAGAGGGAAACAGGCTCGAAGCAGCCCTCTGCAGCATGATTAATCACCTGTCCTGACCAAAGGTTGTTTTTGTTTTTCTGACGGGGTCACCCAGGCTAAAGTGCAGTGACGTGATACTAGCTCACAGCAGACTCAACCTCCCAGGCTCTAGTAACCCACGCACCTAAGCCTTTCAAGGCTTGGAACTACAGGCTTGTGCCACTTAACTGGGCAATTTTTAAAAATTCCTTTTGTAGAGACAGGGTCTCACTTTTTGCCCAGACTGGTGTTAAACTCCTGTGATCAAGTGGATACTCCTACCTTGGCCTCCCAAAGTGCTGGTATTACAGACATGAACCACTGTATCCAGCACTTGGTCAAATGTTTAAATAAATACAAAACGACAGTAATCTTCCCACTCTCATAGTAATCACTGTGAAGACTTAATTGCATAAAACAATACCTCAACAGCACACTTGGTTTCTTGCTTTTAATGTTTCAATGTTTTATCCACTGGCTAAGTCAACAAATGCTTGAAGTTCTCCGGTATGGAAAGCAGTTAGGATATAAGCAGACATGAGGTTTTCTCACTGGTTTCACTGAAACCCAGCTGAAACTACTTCCAACATTAATTTCCTATTCAAATAACCACAAGGCTGTGATGGGAATGTCAGTCAGATACGAATAATCAGCTGACCAGGACTTAATTTACTATAGGAACATATGCACTTCATAATCTCTTTTGTGTATTTCCATAAACATATTTTAACTGTAAAATATGGTATTTCATAGAATGATCGTGTTTACTAATAGTGGTTATTAAAGACAACAATTATCCCTACAGAATATGTATCTCCTTAGTTTTTTTTTTTTTTTTTTTGAGATGGAGTTTCGCTCTTGTTACCCAGGCTGGAGTGCAATGGCGCGATCTCGGCTCACCATAACCTCTGCCTCCTGGGTTCAGGCAATTCTCCTGCCTCAGCCTCCTGAGTAGCTGGAATTATAGGCACGTGCCACCATGCCCAGCTAATTTTTTGCATTTTTAGTAGAGACGGGGTTTCACCATGTTGACCAGGATAGTCTTGATCCTTTGACCTCATGATCCACCTGCATCGGCCTCCCATAGTGCTGGCATTACAGGCTTCAGCCAGCGCACCCAGCCCCAATATGCAATCTTTTATCCATCACCCCCCTCCCAACCTTCCCCCTCTAGTCCCCAAAGGCCACTGTATCATTTTATGACTTTGGATTCTCACAGAGAATACATATTTGGTTTTCCATTCCTGAGTTACTTCACTCAGAATAACAACCTCCAGCTCCAACCAGGTTGCTGTAAAGGCCATTATTTCATTGTTTTATGGCTCAGCATTATTCCATGGTATGTATATTTGACATTTTCTTTGCCGATTAATTGATGGGCATTGATGCTGGTTCCACATTTTTACAATTGTAAACTGTGCTGCTATAAACATGCATGTGCATTTGTCTTTTTCATGACTTCTTTTCCTTTGGGTAGATACCCAGTGTGAGATTGCTGGATTGATGGCACTACTGTTTCCACAGTGCTTGTACTAGTTTACATTCCCATCAGCAGTGTTAAGTGTTCCCTTTGACCAAATCCGTACCAGCATACATGATTTTTTGATTTTTTAATTCTTGCAGGAGTAAGGTGATATTACATTGTGGTTTTAATTTGAAATTCCCTGATAATTAGTGATGTTTCTGAAGAAAAATACATCCTAACAAGACTAACAGATGTTGAAAAGTTTGAAAAAAACCTGATAGACACTAATTTTTAAAAGGTTCAATTTACAGTCAAAAAAAGACCATTATAAACAATCAACAGTAGAGGGACAAGATAAATGTGCATTAAACATTTTGTTGTAATGTTTTTCAATCTCCAAAGATCATGAGCATAGCTCCTCTTCAGAGCATAGCTCCCGATGCTTCTGCGTTCACAAATGGCACTATGTAGAACTGGGGCTGGCCTCTGTCATCACTGTCTCTGGAGTGATGGACACCTGCACATTTCTCTGTGTATTCTCTGACCTTGGAACTAGAGCTAGAGCCCCACCAGATTAGCTGCAGGTCTTGAGATAAATTTAACTGCCACTATAGCGGAGCTAAGTGTTTCTCATTACAAATTTTGCTCCCTTCAAGAAACCAGTTTACAAGCTGGGCACAGTGGCTCATGCCTATAATCCCAGCACTCTGGGAGGCTAAGATGGGTGGATCACCTGAGACCAGGAGTTCGAGACCAGCGTGACCCATGGAGAAACAACATGGAGAAACCCGTGAAGAAAGAAATTAAATAATATTAGTAGTCTGTAATTGCTACATAATAAAAGTTTACTGGTTCCGTTCAATATAAGACCTAGCCCCCAGCTCTGCTTGAAATTAACTAACTCCCTATCAAATCTACCTTATCTACTCTCCCTACTTTTTCAGCAAAGTTCCCAGGCATCTCAGGACTCCCGTTTTTCTTGCAGACCAGCTGCAAGGTCATGGGGTAATATAACACCAAAGAATGTGCAATGTGTTTCTGAAAATGCGATTTTCAAACATAACATACATCACAAGACATGTCACAAGTTAACTGTTCCTTCTCTGGCTTCTGTAAACCTGTTAGTTGCTATGTCATCCTGGCTGTATAACAAATCAAGCCCTGTCTTTGTTAGGTTCTCAGCCTGGGGATGCAAATCCGCTGAGCTGGTGGCCACCTCAATAAAATCCTCCTGTTTCACCCATTGGTCTCTCCAGGCTCCTGAATATTATGTAACACCCCATCTCTACTAAAAATAGAAAATTTGCTGGGTGTGGTGGCACATGCCTGTAATCCCAGCTACTCAGGAGGCTGAGGCAGAACTGCTTGAACCCAGGAGGCGGAGGTTGCCATAAGCCAAGATCCCCCCATTGCACATTGTTGCCTAGGCAGCAAAAGCAAAACTCCATCTCTCTCTCTCTCTCACACACACACACACACACACTCACTCACACAAAGAAACCAGTTTACAAATTGATGACAGTAGTGATTAAGAACTTTAGCTTCTGCAACTTTCAAATGACGTTCATTTTCTGTTAAATCCTTTACTAAAATGGCTACTAGCAATATCACCATGACAACTCAGTTTATACTATTGGCAAAGTGGTAACTTAGCAGCCACTTGAACAGCAACCAGCCATCACTAGTCTCTTCTTGGTTACAAGAAGCCTCATTTCAACTGTAAATATACACTGGTAATTCTGAATGAAAGTCTTTAAAAATTTTCGGGGGTACATTGTAGGTGTACATATTTATGGGGTATATATAATTATTTGATACAGGCCTATAATGTGTCATAATCATAGCAGGGTAAATGAAAAATTAATCGCACCTCAAGCATGTGTTTATTTTATTTTTTTTTACAAATAATTCAATTATACTCTTTTAGTTACTCTAAAGTGTAAATTATTCTTGACTGTTGTCACCCTGTTGTGCTTTCAAATACTAGATATTTATTCTTTCCAACCAAATGTGTACACCTATTAACCATCACCCCTTACTCCTCTCATCCTCCATACTACTTTACCAGCAGCTGCAAACAATTCTCCTACTCTATATCTTCATGAGTTAAATTGTTTTAATTTTTAGTTCCCACAAATCAGTGAGAATAGGTGAATTTTGTCTTTTTGTGTCTGGCTTAGTTCACTTAACATTTCCATCCATGTTGTTGCAGATAACAGGATCTCATTCTCCTTTGTGGTTGAAGAGTGCTCCATTGTGTATATGAACCATTTTCTTTAGCCACTCATCTGCTGATGAATGCTCAGAATGCTTCCAAATCGTGGCTCCTGTGAATAATGCTGCAACATACATGAGAGTGCAGGTAACTCTCTGACATACTGATTTCCCTTCTTTTGGGTTTATACCCAGCAGTGAGATTCCTGGATTATATGGTGGCTCTATTTTTAGTTCTGAGGACCTCCAAACTGTTCTCCATAGTGGCTGTATTTAAATTACATTCCCACTTACAGTGTACAAGGGTTACCTTTGCTCTATATCCTCACCAGCATTTGTTATTGCCTTTTATGATAAGAGCCATTTTAAGTACGGTGAGATGATCTCTCATTGTAATTTTGATTCGCATTTCTCTGAACATCAATGATATTGATGTTGAGTATCTTTTCATATACCTGTTTGCCATTGGTATGCCTTTCTTAAGGAGTTTTCAAACACGTCTCACTTTCTCAATCAGGTTGGAGTGCAGTGGCAGAACCACAGCTCACTGCAGCCTTGACCTCCCAGGCTCAGATAATTTTCACACCTAAGTCTCCTAAAATTACAGGCACATGCCACCAAGCCTGCCTAAAGTGTCCTCTTTTCAGAAAGGTCTATTCAGGTATTTTGCCCATTTTAAAAATCAGATTATTTTTTTTCTATGGAGTTATTTGAGCTCCTTAAGTATTCTGGTAATTAATCCCTTGTCAGATAGTTTTCAAATACCTTCCCCCATTCTGTGGGTTGTCACTTCACTTTGTTCACTGTTTCCTTTGTTGCACAGAAGCTTTTTAACTTGATGTGACCTAATTTGCCCATTTTTCCTTTGGTTGCCTGTGTTTATAAAACATTATGCAAGAAGTATTTGCCCAGTCCTATATTGTGGAGAGTTTTCCCAATGTTTTATTTTAGTTTTGTATTTGAGGTCTTAGATTTAAATCTATTTTTAGTTTTCTAAAAGACAGAGATACTGCACTGCCCAGATAGTCTTGAACTCCTGAGCTCAAGCCATTCACCCATCTTGGTCTCCCAAAATGCTGGGATTACAAGTGTGAGCCACCACACCCAACTTAGATTTACATCTTTAATCCATTTTGATTTGATGTTTGTATAAGGTATGAAATAGAGGCCTGGTTTCATTCTTCTGCATGTGGATATCCAGTTTTCCCAGCACCCCTTACCAACAGACTGTCATTAACCCATTGCATGTGCTTGGCACCTTCATAGAGAATGAGGTCACTGCAGATGTATGAATGGGTGTCTGGGTTTCTATTCTGTTTCACTGGGCTACGTGCCTGTTTTTAATCACAGTGCCATGCTGTTCTGGTTACTACAGGTTTAGAGGGTAATTTGAAATTAGATAATGTAATTCCCTCAGGTTTGTCTGTTTATGCTCAGGGTTGACTTTGAATATTCTGAGTCTTTTGTAGTTGCCTGTATGTTTTAGGATTCATTTTTTTTACTTCTATTTCTGTGAAGAATGTCATTGGTTTTTGCAGAATTGTGGAGGTTCCACGTTGGTGGTCTGAGATCAGACCTGAAGGAATTCTCTAGATTAATGGACCCAGACTTGCTTCTTCACTTACTTTCCCACAAATGAAGTCTGTCTCTTTGTGCTAAGCTTCCTGGAGCTGGGAGAGGAGTGATACAAGCACCCCTGTGGCCATGACCTCTGGGACAGCATTAGGTCTGTCCAGATGGCACTAGGAGTTGCAGTTCTTGTGACCTAAACAGTCCTTCAGGTTTATTAAAAACCCCAGACTATTTTATCCCATGGCAGCCAGGCTTTCATCACTCAAGTTCCAACCATGGGGATGAATAACTCCCCTATCGTTGGGGCTAGTCTAAATGTTTTTCCTTTGGGTGCATTCAGCTTTGTTTTGCTTTCTGCTATGACAAGGCAGCACTGAGTTCAGGCAAAGTCCTGCAGCTGCTGTGCTCTCCCTTCCCCACGCATGTAGCCTCTCTCCTTGCCACAGGTTCACAGTGGTGGCATCAACAATTCAAGATGGTCTTTTCTACGCTGTTCAGTCACGTCATATGAACATTTAAATAATTTTCAGTTCTTATGGAGGTGCTTTTTAATTTAGATAGTTGCTAAAGTTGTTATTCCTGTGGGGAGCACAATTGGCAGAGACTTCTATTTGTGACTGCATACATCCTGAATCACAGTCTTATCTGGAGTAATAGGCAAACAAAAAAACAAACAAACAAAAAACCTGAAATACTAAAACCTCTTGCCACAGCCTGAGGATCTTCATCTTCATACGCTTCATATGCTTCCATGTCAAGAGGTGTTCCTTCAGATTTTCCTAAGTGTCACCCACAAAGCCATTTTCGCTGACTAGTGGACACTGTGAGAGCCTGTGCTGGAAATGCCTCCCTGGCGCACCCTACCAACCAGCTCCAAGACCCTTCCCTTTACAGCAGTCATGAGGCCAGACTGAAAGAAAGACCCATGAAGCTCCTGTTTCAGTGTCATGTTGCCATCTGTGAGCAACCCTCATGATTTAGAAAGATTTCTTGCATTCTCACAGATAACTTGGGGCCCTCCAAGTGCTGCTGTGGTTGCATTAATGCCCTGGGAACCTCCTGAGTGTGGTGAGCATTGGGTGATGCCCCAGCAATGTTTCTCAGACTGCCTGAGGGGAACACTGGAACTTCTAACTCATCAGCCCAGTGATGCAATGCTCCTAATGGGGAGAAAATAGGGGCACAGAGAACTGTGGCTATTCCATATCTCAAGGTTTCTATAAAACGGATCTTTAGAGAAAAGTGGGAGAACAACAGCAAACACAAATACACAATGTATGGCTCAGGGTGAAGCTATACTTCACAATGCAGAGGCCCCAGACCTGTCAATGGGCAAACAGTTATTTCAAAGACCAGATGTGCGCTCCTCACAAAGAGAATAGAACTTGCAGGCAGCTTGTAAAAGCCGTAAGAAAACTGACTGTACTATTATGTTTCTCATTGTACACTGGTAAGATATTTGCCAAAAACATTCACCAGAAAAATACTTTTTCATTTACGAGATTATTACAATGGCAATTTACCAAGACCCACCAATGAATAGTGAAAAATATGAACAATTCTTCTAAAACTGGGGAGAAAAAAAGAGTGGTGTTTATGCCCATTCTTATTATCTGCATAATGTAAACTTTAAAAGTATTTCTCAAAGTGTTGAAGTTTATGGGAGCAAATAAAGTATTCAAAAATGGTTAGAAAGTTCACAAAAACCATACAAACTTACAGATTGTCAACTGTAGTTTTCTCAAAGCGCCTGCACAAGTCCTTATTGCACACAGGTACATTGCTCCGAACCTTGATGGCAACAAGAATGGCTCCGAGGATAATCCTCCTCCAGGTGGCTGAACAAATATAGATACGAGAATACCATATAAGTCTTGGGATGTACACCTGCAAAACAGCATTGGCCTTTGATTTAACTCAGTTTAAGTGCTGTGATAAGAACCCTTATGAAAAAGCAGAATACTTCTGGTTTTGACCTTTTATTCTTATGTTCTACAAAGACTTTGTTTCATCAGGTTAAGTAAGGGGCCATATCACAATCATAGCCCAAATATTTCTGCTACCTACTCTGCCCACTGGGGTGGATTAACACATCCAAGGAACAATGAACTGAGGGCAGAAGCTCTCGATCACAACATACATGAGAATTGCCTGGGGATACACCCTGGGACTCAGCTTAGACCTACAATGGCACACATTCCTGCCCATGAACCAGATGGTCTTGTTACTGTTCTTCATTCCAAGCCCTCCACATGCCCTGGATGTGAGCACACTGCATGTGCATGTGTGCACTGAAGTGTGGGGGGAGAAATCAGAAATCCCTCCTGCTGCCTTTAATAGAAATTGTTCTGTAATCATAAATCCAAGGCAACATTTAAGCCATAATGATGATTCAACTCTAATGTGTGTATTTCCTGTCATAAGTTTCTCTTAAAGTTCTGAGATAATTTCAGAAACCTATTTTCACTTAAAATCAGGAACATACTACCCTGTTTACAAGATCAATTTCTTTTTTTTTTTTTTTTTGGAAACAGAGTCCTGCTCTGTTGCCTAGGCTGAAGTACACTGGCTTAATCTCGGGTCACTGCACTCTGCCTCCTGAGTTCAAGCAATTCTCCTGCCTCAGTCTCCGAAGTGGCTGGGACTACAGGGGCATGTCACCATGAGTGGCTAATTTTTGTATTTTTGGGTGAGACAGAGTTTAACCTTGTTGGCCAGGCCGCTCTACAAGACCAATTTCTAAAGATGCTTTATAAATAGAAAATATCTTACCATAATTATGATGGCGACAGCAACCTTTAGACTTTTTACATAAAACAGGGTATGTATAAATTTGTAAATCATTGTCTCTGAAGGATCATACATAATGTATTCTTCTGTTCTGTGCTGAAAGAAAGGATGCAATGTAAGTATCCACTGAAGAGAAAACCTGAAGTGCTCTTAAGACAGCAGTGTTCACATTTGTGCCCATGTACCATTTACAATGATTTTGATGGGTGAGACGTCTTTCAGTTTTTACAATATGAACAGTGGGATCTTAAAATACCATAATTTAATACTCATCAACATTCACTTAAAAATCATGAGCTAAAGGGCAGAAAATTTTTTTTCTTTTTTACCCTTTGCACCACATAATTCTATCCAAATGTAAGCTACCCTTAGGCTTTAATGCCTTACTGATGGCATGTCATTCTCTGCAATAAACTTTGAGAAAATACAGTTTCCTGTAACCATGAGGCTCTAAGCCTATGCTGTTAAATACAATAGTCACTAGCCACATGTGGCTATTATGTACTTGAGGAAGTGCATTTTTAAATTTTTATAACATGTAGGTTGATTTAAACTTAAATTATTTTTAACTCTTCATAAATGTCATGCTTCTGTGTTAAAAGTATTTACATATACTCATATTGCTTGATGCTACTAATAACTGTCTTTTAAAAGATACATTTTGTTATTTTGATAGATTTACTCATACTAGTTCACTCACTAAACAGCTGCAGATCAGTTCTTATTCTAACACATTCTTTTTACAACACCTAAGAGGACTAAATGCAACACGAAATGGGAAAATTTAAAGACAGCTTTGACATCAGCATGAAAGAAATACAAGTCTATGATAAAAATACAACCTCAATAAAAGTGCCACTTACTTTCAATGGGTATACATGTTCATCAAATATTCTGTAAGACAGATATCCTTCTCTATAAAATAAGAATGTGCATTACTTCAGAAACTGTTAATATCTTAGCATAATACCTGTTTGGTATAACAATGCCTCCTATGTGCTTTGGTGTTTACTTCACCAAAGCAAAGTTTTTACAAATTCTTCTCCTGGATCCCGCCCTGCAGAATGTTTCCTGACCTCTTCCTCAGCACATCATATCCTGCACTGTGAAGCCTTTTCCACAATAACCAGTCAGAACTGCCTATAGGTATCGACCCTCCCTAACAGGCAATGGCAATACACCAAACATATTTTCTCTCTTCTTCACCACCTGAAACACAAGAATGTTTTACAAAGTAGTAATGGGCAATAAAGTCTTTAGGACTTTCATAAATGTAAACGTGATTCCGATTTCCTAGCCTCCTTTCTTTTTAGTCCTCTGTAGTATACTTTCATGATCAATTTATTTATTTTCTGTTGTTTGGATTAAAAACTCATCTGCCCTTTTATTTTAAAAGAGGCTAGTCTTTAACTTTAAACTTTGTAAAACTAATGCATTGTGCCTGTGTGATAAACCAGTGGTTCCCCAAATGTACTCTGTGGGCCTCTGGGGATCCTGAAGACCCTTTCTGAGAAGGCCTAAGAGGTCAACACTGTTTTTTGTTTGTTTGTTTTTGTTTTTCTGAGATGGAGTTTCACTCTTGTTGCCCAGGCTGAAGTGCAATGGTGGGATCTTGGCTCACTGCGACCTCCGTCTCCCAGGTTCAGGTTATTCTCCTGCCTCAGCCTCCTGAGTAGCTGGGATTATGGGTGCCTACCACCATGCTCAGCTAACTTTTGTATTTTTAGTAGAAATGGGGTTTCACCATGCTGGCAAGGCTGGTCTTGAACTCCAGACCACAGATGATCCATCTGCTTGGCCTCTCAAAGTGCTGGGATTATAGGCCTAAGCCACCGTGTCTGCTGGACACTTCTGATAATCATACTAATTCAATCTCAGAAAGTTGATACAATTTTTTTTTTACTTGAGAAAGTAATACAAAGACACTGGCTACTTTTTCATAAACACCCGCCATAACTGTATAAAAGCAAAAATGGATAAAACTGCTGGTTTCTCAGCCCAAATCAAGGCAGTGGTACCAATTACATTGATGGTAATTCTGTTCTTTATTGTCCCTTACAGTTAAAAAGCAGTCTAAAGTACTTAAGAATGTCTTTGTTGAGGTGGTAAAAATTAATGGTGTTACTAAATCTTGACATGTCTCTTCAATATTCTGAATCAGTAGAAAGCTAAGAAGAAGCGCTTCTGCTGACTGCAGTATGGTTGTGTTTAAGAAAAATTTATGATTTAATTGTCAGCAGAACAATCACTTTTTTCACAGATCATCATTTTTATTTAAAAGTACCACTGTGCCGGTGCAATGGTTCACACCTCTAAAATCCAAACCCTTTGGGAGACCAAAGCAGGTAGATGGCTTGAGCTCCAACAGAAGTTCGAGAGTAGCCTAGAAAGCATGGTAAAACTCTGTCTCTACCAAAAATACGCAAAAATTAGCCAGATGTGGTGCCACACCTCTGTGGTCCCAGCTACACAGGAGTCTGAGGTGAGAGAATTGCTTGAGCTGAGATCATGCCAATGTACTACAGCCACGTGACAAAGTGAGACTCAGTCTAAAAAAAAAAGGACAATTACCATTATCAAAAATAAATGAACATGTGTTCCCAATGATAAATTAAGCTTTCCTGAGGACTTTGAAAATCTCGCTCCTTCTACTGTAGGCTTGACAGCTTTTCAACACTTAAAGACTTTTAAAAGAATATCGGTGGTTAAAAGTGATTTTTGACACAATAAAACATAAACCAATATATTCCAAATAACTAATGCATGATAGTATAAATGCAAGTATGGAGGAAAAGATCCATTTACCATGCAAGACAGATTAGTGAGAACTGATTTTAAAAAGTAGCACTTGTCAAGTTTTCACTTATTAAACACCCACAGCTGTCTCAAAGCTTTAAAAATGAACCTTTTACCAACTACATATTTGCACGAGATTAGGTCATGTCATTGCTTCCCTTTTTTGACTACAGGCATGCACTATCAAGCCCAGCTGTTTTTTGTATTTTTAGTAGAGATGGGTTTCACCATGGTGGTCAGGCTGGTCTCAACCTTCTGACCTCAAATAAATCTGCCTGCCTTGGCCTCCCCAAAGTGCTGAAATTGCAGGTGCCTCCCACCACCCCTGGCCATCTTATTGCTTCTTAAAGCAAATTGCAAAGAAAGACCTAGAGAATCCAGCTGTCTTCTACTAAGTGTGACATTCGGGGTTTTCAATAATATAAATACATGACACACTTTTTACTCTACTTTTTGTTGTAGAAAATCTATTTTCTCATTTAAAAATCTATGTTAACAATATTGTTCTCAAGGAGTATTTTCTGTTGTCACAACCTGGGTCATGGGTTACTACTGACATCTACTTGGTATAGGCCACCAGTGCCGCTAAACTTTCTGCAACGCACAGAACAGTCCTTGTGACAAAGCGTTATCTAGATCGAGATATTAACAGTGGTAAGGCTGTGAAATCTAAACTAAAAATAGATTTTGAAATAAAATCTCAATTTTATAGTTCTATGACAGTAAATATCAATATCATCAATATAAATACATACTCTTTGAGATTCCCAATCATTTAAGAATTAAAAGTGTTACGGACCAAAGAAAACACAAATAATTTGCTTGGATATTTTAGTAGGCCCGATACAGCTCTCGATGTCCAGAGCTGTGACCTAAAGGGCTTCATAGCTTGCAAAGTAATTAGCCAGAATAACAAGACAGTTTTTTAAAAAGCTCACCTTTCCTTGATAAGAAAATAGAAGTCCAAGGCGACACTGTGGAAGGAAAAACATTCAATATAACAATAGATATTATCAATTGTTAGGTCTGAAGACATTTTTTTTACAAGGGTGTGGTGGAAACTCTCCTAGAGGCCCTGAAATTAAAACCTTGTAGTTCAGAAAAGTATCATAAGGGCACTTTGTTTTCATTTCTTGGGTTTTAGCAAAAATATGAGGATAAAAATGCAAGGCAATACAATACCCTGTTAGAAAACATGTTTCTGTTGATGATTATAATTTATAAATAATAACATATTTCCCTGTTATATGTTCTTCTACCCACAAAACCTTTCATCACATGCAAATTATTTTATGTATTTACTTATTGTGTGACCCAGAGTCTTGCTCTGTTGCCCAGAGCAACCTTGGCTCACCACAAACTCCACCTGCCGAGTTCAAGCAATTATCATGCCTCAGCCTCCCAATTAGCTGAGACTACAGCTTGGTGCCATTATGCCCGGCTAATTTTTGTATTTTTAGTAGGGATGGGGTTTTGCCATGATGGTCAGGTTGATCTCAAACTCCTGGCCTCAAGTGATCTGCCTGCCTCAGCCAAGTTCTGGGATTACAGCTTGAGCCACCACACCCTGACTCATGCAATTTATATCTATGGCTTTTGCATAATTATTAGAAAATATATCAGTAAACATAAGCTCACATGACATCAATAATAGGTACAGCAATCCTAAAATAAGCAGTGCTAACAAGGTAGTGTAGCATGATACAGTGTAATATCAATGGCAGGTATCTTCAGTTAGTTTAACGAAATATTTATGAACACACAAAACTCTTCAGATATATGTAACTGTATTCCTAAGTTACCCACTGATGCTCTGTTTCAGAAAACAAGAGGTTCTCTTACATAAGTTATGTGCTTCCATTTGCCCTCAGTGTCTACAATGAGGGTCAAAATAACTGAGGGAAGGCAAATCTCAATTTTAATAATAGGTCAATACAATATCAGCACTTTTTAGAAAGCCTGTAACATTAGCACTTCAGAGGGATACTTCTATAGTGCATTAAGTAGTTTTCATCACTGAAAAAATTTTAAAATCACAGAATTTGAAGTTATATGCTGGAAAGGACCAATGACCTTACAAGACATTTAATGCAACACTAATTTTACAGGTCAGGGAAACAAATCTTAAAACTGACTTGCCCAAGGTCCAAATAGGAGCAGTTTCTTGCCCTAAACTTAAATTAGGCAGTGGCTCTAAACTTTGCTGCACATTAAAATCACCTGAGAAGCCTTAATAACTGCCTCATTTTCAATTATTAGCATCAGATATAACTTTGGCCATCAGGGTTGCTGCTAAAAGTTTCCCAGGTGATTTCAATGTGCAGCAAAATTTGAAATGATTGAGTTGGGATGAAAATCAGAACCTTCTGGGATGCTTTTCTTCACATAAAGATGCTATGTTTTCCTAAAAGGCTTCTCAGTGCCTGAAGGAAGAGGGAAAGTGGAGATTAGAGAATACATGTATTTACAGACATGTATTTTGAAGACAAATTTTGCAAAAGTGATCCCAATGAGTTCCACCTATCCCACTGATAACAGTGCACTACTAATTTGTGATGAACATTTTTCAAAATCTTCTCCTGAAGCCAATTTGCCCTATTAATTTGCTCAACAAACCTCTATTTCACCAAGAGTGAATACATCAAATGATCATTTCTCAAACTTGCTGATGGCAAATTAAAACTTACTTTGTTTTGAAAGTAGACTTCTAAAAATTAGGAGAATGAGGAAAAAAGCATGAAATTTGTTTGAACAAGACTATCTTCAAAGCTACTTTGGCATGCTATGCTAACACATAAAAATCGCTTGCATTCAAAAGCAGCCAGGGACTTTAGCCAAAGTAGTCTGTTTGTTTTTATGCTCAAAGATTTAAGAGACAGCCAGGTGTGGTGGCTCACGCCTGTAATCCCAGCACTTTTGGAGGCAGAGGTGGGCAGATCACCTAAGATTGAGAGTTCAAGACCAGCCTAACATGAAGAAACCTCAACTCTCCAAAAAAAACAACAAAAAAAACCAAAATCAGCTGGCTGCGGTGGTGCATGACTGTAATCTTAGCTACTTGGGAGGCTGAGGCAGAATTGCTTGAACCTGGGAGGTGGAGGTTGTGGTGAGTCAAGACGGTGCCATTGAACTCCAGTCTGGGCAATAAGACAAGAGGAAAACTCCATATCAAAAAGAAAAAAAAGAAAAGAAAAGAAGAAAAAGAAAAAAATTGAAGAAACTTGGCTGACTACAGACATTTAGTGATTACTCAATAGGTCCCAAAACTGAGCACCTAAGATATAATTTGATTCCAATTTGTGCTGAAACAAAATTTCATCTCAACTATTGTTATAAGGGAAGGAGGAAAGTGACATTATTATGAGTGTAAACCTGCCATTTTTACAGTTATTGAAAACTGAATTTGCTAAAAAGGCTAGTGCATTCAAAACAAAATTGTTTATAAGATAGCTAGTTATATTTCTAGAATGAAAAGAAAATTTAAATATAAGGACATTAATATTCTAAATTAGCACTTTGCAAACTGTGCTCTAAAAATCAACACTCATAACCAAGGAGATGATAATGTACCACGGACAGACCCTGTCCATGATGGTGTTGGTGGTTGTTCCTTTTAAAAAATAAACTTCATCCAGAGTGCTCTCAAAGTGCATCTTTGTGGCCCATGAGGTGCTCATGCACGATGGGAGAAATTCAAATGCAGATACACTGTGGTGCCAGAGGAGAGAAAACTGTTCCTTCTTCTAAGACTAATGTCCAAAGTAGTACACATTGACTGAGGCCTGCAACGCATTGAAAAACTAATTTTTCATAAAAAACATTCAATAAAGACAACCTATTCTTCTCACTGCATTCAATATTCTTTTAAGGCATAAAGAAAAGCAACACTTTTTCTGAAATTGCTTATTTGCTAAGAGATTTTTCCTTCCACCATGATGTAGAAGATGAAAAGAGAAATTGATACTTAATATTTAGAATATGGTATCAACATAGAGTTGACTCCAATTTCTTAAACTGATTGAAGAGGACAATCAAATGGCTGAAATAATTTTAATAGTTGTACTCACGATTTTAGTGTCGTTTCAAAATGAGGGCAGCTGGTTGTGCTGTCTTCAAGGAAAATTGTCGAGCATGAACTGAATTTCAAAGAAAAATGATCCATACATATCTAAAGAAGAAGGGAAGGATAAGGTAAACTTATCAAAGTGTGTTTCTTTTTTCTCAGTTAAAATGTCCAATGACAAAGCATTAAGATATTTCTTACACTCCATGAACTGCCTGAGTGTGATATCATGTGCACTGTATAGAAAAACCAGAGGAGGCTCTTAACTTCCAGAGGTGATATTGAGATATGGGTTAGAAAATGCTGCTCTTAATATGCTACCTGTCATCAAACCTAACAAGGATTTTATGAATTCTCTTTATAGATAATGACAAGAGTTTAAAATACAATTTCATCGTTTTTTCTACCATGATATAAAGCAGCTGAGAATTTCTATTAATTTATTACAATAAAATGTATTGTATTAAATAATACTGGTACAAGAGAAATTTATTGCAATGAATACAAGACTAATGTATTTACAAACTTACTAATCCTACATGTATTATTTCAGGCAATACGGTGACAAAACAGGTGTTTCACATTCAGAGGTTCTGTGTGCCAGGGTTGCTAGGCCACTACCAAGTGAGGGAGCCATAGGTTTCTCTAGTCCTATTTTCTTATGTGGAGGATAAAAAAATTATCACTTAAATATTCTCTCACACCCTGAAAACAAATAACAACTTAAAAAATTTAACTTTCATTTCATGTTTAAATAAGACTGCCAAGACATGACTCAAATGAAACTCTCAGAGAATACTTGCCATTCATTTCAAAAGTTGATTGATTTCATTCTATAAATCATCTGACCTGCACCTAGGCATTTTCCTGCTATACCCTTGCTCTCTGCCTAGAAGACTGTTTTTCTCTCTCCTTGTTTCAGGAAGCTTGATTCCATCTACCTTCTTGGATCTTTCTGCCAGCAACCACACACACAAAAAGTTTTGTTTTTGTTTTTTTATACACTAATTGATCAATTTCACCACTGGTTACAAGATACTAATTCTTGCTGAGTATTTCCCTCATGAGAAAGTATGCCTCTCCATAAGAATAAGGGAGGGCTCTTACTCTTTCTATCTCCAGCTGCTGAGCACAGAATTTTGAATAAATCAAAAACTTAAACAAGTATTTAATAAATTAATTCAGTTATAATTTGGAAAATAAGTCTTACTAAACTTAATTACACCAAAAACACTCCTAATGGTTTACTGTTTATAGGTATTATTTAAGGTAGTGAACCAAAAAAAAAAAAAAAAAAAAAACAACAACAACAACAAATCATCTAACTGCAGTCAGCATGAATAAAGAGTGTGAAATTTTATGATCTTTAACAAGAAGTGTAAGGGGTTACATAGTAGGTTAACAACAAAAACTAGAAAATAATTACACCTAGTAATTTAGTAAGTCAAAACCAAAGGCTTACCATCAAAGGTCCATGTAGAGGTCTTTCACTTCCTTGGTTAAGTCTATTCCTAAGTATGTTATTTTATTTTTTCAACTATTATAAAAAAGGCTGAGTTTTTTATAACTCTGTTATACCCTCAGCATTCGCGGTTAGGGTATAACAGAGTTACTGATTTGTGTACGCTAATTTTGTCTCCTGAAACCTTGCTAAATTCATTTATCAGTTTCTTGGAGTTTTCTCGGAGAGTCTTTAGGGATTTCTAAGTATAAAATCATATCAGCAGCAAACAGTGACAGTTTGAATTCCTATTTACTGATCTGGATGCCCTTTATTTCTTTCTCTTGTGTGATTGCTCTGGCTAGGTCTTCCAGTACTATGCTGAATATAAGTGATGAGACTGGGGCATCCTTGTCTTGTTCCAGTTCTCAAGGGGAATGCTTTTAACTTTTCCCTCTTCAGAATTATGTTGGCTGTGGGTTTGTCATAGATGGCTTTTATTACATTGGGGTATGACCTTTGTATGCCAATTTTGCTGAGGGTTTTCATCATTAAAAAATGCTGGATTTTGTCAAATGCTTTTTCTGTGTCTATTGAGATGATCATGTGTTTTTTTTTCGAATTCTGTTTATGTGGTGTGTCACATTTATTGACCTGTGTTATGTTCAACTATCCCTGGATCCCTGGTATGAAACCCATTTCATCACGGTGATCTTTTTAATATGCAGTTGGGAAGGACAAAACATTGCTGAATGAAATGATGGACACAAACAAAAGGAAAGACATCTTTTGCTCATGAATGAATTGTATGAATATTGTAAAAATGAGCATATTCCCAAAAGCAATCTACAAATTCAATGAAATGTCCATCAAAATACCATAATCCTTCTTCACAGAAGTAGAAAAAAATACTAAAAGTGATATGGGACCAAACAAGACTTCACATAGCAAAATCAAAATTAAGCAAAAACAACAAATCTGGAGGCATCAATCACATTCCCTAATTTCAAACTATACTATAAAGCCGTAGTTACTAAAACAGCACGAAACTGTTATAAACACAGGCACATACACCAATGGAACAGAAGAAAGAACCCAGAAATATACCCAAAAATTTATAGCCAAATGATCTTCAACAAAGCCAACTCAAATATAAAGTGAAGAAAGCAAACCCTATTCAACAAATTATGCTGGGATAATTGGCAAGCCATATGCAGGAAAATGAAACTGGATCCTCAACTATCACCATACACAAAAATCAACTCAAGATAAATCAAGCACATAAATCTATGCCTGAAACCATAAAAATTCTAGAAGACAACCTTGTAAAAACCCTTCTAGACACTGGCTTAGGCAAAGACTTCACGACCAAGAACGCAAAAGCAAATGCAACAAAAACAAACAGGTAAGACTTAACTGAAGAGCTTCTGCACAGGGAAAGGAACGATCGGCAGAGTAAACAGACAACCCACAGAGTGGGAGAAAGTCTTCACACTCTTATATATCTGACAAAGGGCTATTATCCAGAATATACAAGGAACTCAAACAAATTACAATTTACAAATTTCAATTACAGAAATACGCAACAAGCCCAAATGCCCAAAAGTCAATGAAGGGATAAAAAAATGTGACATAAGTGCATATATTTTATATACGTATTATATATATGATAGAATACCACTCAGTTACAATAAGGAATAAATTAATGGCATTCCCAGGAACCTCAATGGAATTGGAGATTATTATTCTAAGTGAAGTAACTCAGGCATGGAAAACTAAACATTGTATATTCTCTTTCATACATGGGAGCTAAGCTACGAAAATGCAAAGGCATAAGAATAATACAACAAACTCTGGAAACTCAGGGGAAAGTGTGAGAAAAGGGTGAGGAATAAAAGACTACAAATCAGGTTTAGTGGACACTGATCAGGTGATGGGTGCACCAAAATCTCACATATCATCACTAAAGAACTTACTCATGTAACCAAATACCACCTGTTCCCCCCAAAACTAACCGAAATAAAAAATAAATAAACTACAGCAATCTTCTCAGCAAACATAAATAAAATAAAATAAAATAAAAACTAAAGTTTATGCTTTTCTCTCTCCTTTTTCGCAGGACAAATTTTAGGCATGTCTTTAAACTATTAATAACTTTTTTCCTTTTTCTGAGACAAGGTCTGACTTTGTCACTCAGGCTGGAGGGCAGTGGTGCAATGATGGTTAACTGCAGCCTCAAACTCCTGTGCTCAAGCAATCCTCTGCCTCAGCTGCCTGAGTAGGTAAAACTAAAGGCATATGCCACTATGCCTGGCTAATTTGTTAGTTCACCATTTTGTAGAGATGAGGTCTTGCTTTGTTGACCAGGCTAAAAATAAATGTATCTTAATTAACTTAAATATTTGTAACACTGTGAGCATTCATGAAAAGAGCTCCATCTATGTTATGAAGTAATAAGATAATATGACAGCATATGAAGTTTGAATGAAAATAACAAACAAGGCCTTAGAAGACAACTGTAACAAGCTTATTATAGATACATCACTAAAAAATTGGGTTAATATCATTAATGATATTAAAATTAAACTTTGATTTGCGCTTTAATATAGGTCCTAAATTTGGATTAAATATAATAGATTGATCACAAACTTATTTCTTCTCCCTCTAGACATCTCATTAGTCACAAGATAAAGGTGAAGAGAGAAGGTTGAAAAGAGATAATTTTTAATAAATGCTGAGACATAAAAAGTAGATAAAAGAGTGGTAAATAACACAGAAGCACAACTATGATGCCTCAAGAAAGTAACTGGAGGCCGGGCAAGGAGGTTCACACCTATAATCCTACCACTTTGGGAGGCCATGGAATTCAAGAACAGCCAGGCCAAGATGGTGAAACCCCATCTCTACTAAAAATACAAAAATCAGCTGGCTGTGATGGCAGTTGCCTACAATCCCAGCTACTCAGGAGGCTGAGCAGAGAATTGCTTGAACCAAGGAGGCAAAGGTTGCAGTGAGCTGAGATGTCACCACTGCACTCCAGCCCAGGTGACAAACCAAGACTGTCTCAAAAAAAAAAAAAAAAAAGAGAAAGTGACTGCAACAGAAGCAAGCAGTCTGTCTTGTAGAACTAAAGGTGGGCTGTGAACTTAGAGGCAAACAGCACTTTAAAAAGTAGTGCAAAATGTAAAACAAAGCCACCAAGGTCAGTTGAAAATCTGTGGTTAGAGACTCACATCCACCTGTTCTCCCATCTGATAAGAAACTTAGATGTGTGCTCCCTGGATATACCAAACCTGAGAATTTCTGGCTCCCAACTACCAAAGATTAAACCTGAGATATAAAGAAAACTATAAACCAAAAATGGAACTCCAACTTGCTTCCCTAACTCTGCTTTTGGAAAGCAAGTAGTCAGGCAGAAACTTAAAAAAATATTCCCAAGAAACTAAACTGTCTTGAATAAAGATCCCCAGGTAATACACTGAGGTCTCCCAAATGAAAAGCTAGTTGCTTCCACAACCTCACACTGAGTGCCATCAGTTAACAGAAGTCCTGCTTCCAAATCAAGTAAGCAAGCCAGAAACCACCACACATTGGAGTAAAGCCTCCAACAAGAGAGACTGAAACAACACACAAAATTCATGGGACCAGTCAAAATCAGAAGAAAAACTTTTTAAAAAACGTTAAAACTCTCCAAAAATATATATATAAAAAATTGAAGGGAAAAAATTGGAAACGAAAGCAGGTCTACTGGTCTAAGCAGTGTAGCGCCTGAGTAACATGACTATCAGAAAAAAGGAACAGAGCAAATAAAAAACATTCTCAAAAACAGAGACTCTGCAGACTTAGTAGCCTCAGTAAAATGAAAAGATCCCCCGCCACGCTGTTATTATGAAATTTCAGAATCTCAGAGATAGAAAAGCTCCAAAAAAGCTTCCAAAAACACATAAAAACGTGGTTATAAATAACGTGTTACACAATGGCAATAGATTCAAGAAAACAGGGTGATAAGAGCACAATTGCAGAATATCTTCAGAACCATAAAATTTAGATTCAACCTAGAAGTTTACTCTCTATCAAGGAAGAAGAATTTTAAGACTGGTCAGATTTCTAAACATCTCTGCCCAGGAACGTGTGCTTAAGTACAACTAGAGAGGATAACAAGACAGAAAAAAAACACAGAATCTAGGACTCACGTGATCCCACACAAAAAGGCAGTTATGTGAGATTCCCAAAAGACTTTAAAAAGATAACACAGATAGACTAAAACATCAAGTATATCTAGGTAAAGCCACTCTATACTAAACTAGGATGACAAAAGGCCAAAGAAAGGTTGCCCACCACCCACCAAAAACAAAGAGGAACAGATATGTTTTAGCAGATGGAAAATATCTTTGAAAGGCATGTGATAAATGCTACAACACTTGAATGTGTGTGAGGGGAATCAGCTGTTAGAAAACAGGCAAATGAATATAGTCAGAAAATCAGCTTCATGCTAAAAAATAAAGGATGTAAAATGTAAATTATATGTAAAATATAATTTAACAATTATTATTTTTCAATAAAGTGACAGACCATCCAGAGGCTACGTATTGCATTTGGCTGGATAAACCAGCAGAGGTCAGGAAAAAAAGATGATCCAGAAGAAGTGCAGAAGTGCTCAGATTTCAGAACTGTTTCAGAGAAAGGATGAAGGAATATGTAATGAAGAGACACAGTGAAAACAACATATAACTCAGCAGTGAATATTTGGATAGTCATAATCATGTCAATATTACTGATTGAATTAAAAAGTGTGCTACAATAGAAAGAAACAGAGGGAGAAAAATAAGGTCATGGTTAGCAAAAAAGATAAGCTTTCACCTGCTGTGACAGAGGGTCAATACACCATACTGACAATTAACTTAGCTCTTTTTGTTGTTTCATTAAAAATAAGATTAAATATTTAAAGCAGATTTGTATACCACAACCAAGTATTGAAATTTAAGTTAAGTGTTAGAAATCCTTAAAAGGTGGGTACACTAAGCTGAAGACTTTTTGGGATAAATTTGATAGGAATGTAGAAGAGATTCAGAAAATCCATGAAACGAGGTCCACTCTATCACCACTGGGTCCCCATTATAATAAAAAGTAATCAAAACAGACATACTTTTACATCAAACTATCAATTCCTCAACTTTTTGACTGTTTACTTACATGGTTTCTACAGCTGTTTTCTCCTATTTCTTGTGCTAAGAATAAAAAAAAAGGTCACTTCTGACACAAATAATATAAAATAAAAGTAGTTGTGAAAATCTTACTGACTACTCCTATGTACAATCAGAGAAAATTCCATTTAAAAAAATTAATTTCAACAATTTATCATTTAAATTTTCTGGCATGATAAATCTCATAAAGTAAAATACAAAAACTCAGATTTATGTTTTGACCTGGTTTACTTTCTGTTTTGTTACATATGAGTGAAATAATGCTCATGTAAAAAAAGGCACAAAAATTAGGCCAGATAAAAAATTTAGCTAACTAAAAAATTTAATTGTTGCATATATGAGCCATGATCCATTAGTATTCTCCCATTCTGGATTTACATATAGCTTAATTACCAGAATCTAAGAGCTAAAAGCTCTAAGAACTACTTGCTGGCCAGGCACCTATCTCTAGATGCATCAGAATCCCTGTAAGCCTCTCCAACCACAATTAGTGGTCATCTACTAATATGTCGCTACAAAAACAAACAAACAAACAAACAAAAACGGGGTCTTTATACAACTGAAAAGTAACCAATCTTAAATTTAATCTTTTGTTCGTTGTTTTTTTTTTTTGATATAAAGGAGTCTCCCTCTGTCACCCAGGCTAGAGTAAAATGGTATGACCTTGGCTTACTGAAACCTCCGCCTTCAGGGTACAAACGATTCTCCTGCCTCAGCCTCTGAGTAACTGGGATTAGAGGCGCACAATACCATGCCCAGCTAGTTTTTGTTTTAGTAGAAACAAGGTTTCAGCATTTTTGTCAGGCTGGTATTGAACTCCTGACCACATGATCCATCCACCTCCACCTGCCAAAGTGCTGGGATTACAGGCATGAGCCACGACACCCTGCCAAATTTAAATGTTAAAAAAAGTAAACAAATTTGGATATGGTGTCTGCAGCAAAAAAAAAAAAAAAAAAAAAAAAAGGCAGAATCATAAGAGCTTCAAGAGGGATTTGGGCCTTGCTTTGTTTCTTATACTGCCTCCACCTTAAATGCTGGAAGGGCCTTGTAGGAAAACATTCCCATCACTGAAGTGTGAGGGACATGGAATAGCTTTTCTTTTTTCTGCTTTCATGCTCTCCAGGTGTGATAAGCCCATGCCTCTGAAAGTAAGTGGAAAATACACCTCTGATATGGTTTGGATATGTCTCCCTCTCCAAATCTCATGTTAAAATGGGACCCTTAATGCTGAGGACAAGGCCTAGTGAGAAGTGTTTGGATAACAGTGGAGCATTCCTAATAAATGGCTTGGTGCCATTCCCATGGTAAAAAGCAAATTCTCATTTTGGTATTAAACCAAAATGAGTTTTTCTTTTTGTTTATTTAAACAAAATGTTTTATTGAGAGAGAGAGACAGAGAGAGAGAGAAACAGAGAAGAGAGAAAGCTTCCACGAGAGAGTGTGTGAAAGTAAGACCCCAGAGGGAAAATCCAGGAAGGAGAAAAGACCTCCGATTATGTCGGATAATATGAGTTTTTCTAAAAAGTTTTTATAATACATCTGATCAAACAGGATTTTTCACTATTTGTCTTGGCAGAAAAAACAATGTTGTCTCACTACCTGTTTGGGATTTCCTTGTTTCAGAAGGGTTGGACTCCAAAGCCCTATCTGTAAAGAAAAAAAAAGAAAAAATAAATAATCACTTATAATAATTTATCACCTCATTTATTCAAAAAGGAAGCCATCTCACTACCTCTACTTTTATTCTTATCCATTGGGAAAAGGGACAAAGAATTAAACATAAAGATAAATCCAAGACTCCTCCACTACATGACAAATTGTGTCGATAAAAAGATGGAAAAATCAATGAACAAGAAGTTGACATGTTTTCACTAACATGGTAACAAGCAAAGTATATCACATGTTACAAAAAACAAGTGAATATGTAAAAATTTTAGAAATTTAAACAAATATGAGTTTTCCTAAACACTTTCTATTATACACCTCATCAAACAAGAGTTCTCACTCTTTTTCCTAGTGGAAAAAAACAATGCTGTCTCACCATCTGCTGGATATTTCTTTCCTTCTGGATCATCAGAAGGGTCGGACTCCAAAGCTCTATCTATACATACACAGAGAGAAAGGAAAAAGTATGTAATCACTTATAACAATTTATCAACTCACTTATTCGACAAGGAAGCCATTTCTACACGTACTTTTATTTTTATCCACTGAAAAAAGGGACAAAGAATAAAACATAAAGATAAATCTAAGACTCCTCCACTTCATGAAAAATTGTGTTGATAAAAAGATGGGAAAATCTATGAACAATAAGTTGACATGGTTTCACTAACATAACAAGTAAAGTATATCACGTTAAAATAACACAAGTGATTATGTGAAAAACTTTTTAAATTTAAACTTTAAATATATGAGTTCTGCTAAACACCTTCTATTATACACCTCATCAAACAAGAGTTTTCACTCTTCTTCCTGGTAGAAAAAAACAATGTTGTCTCACCATCTGCTGGATATTTCCTTCTGGATCATCAGAAGGGTCAAACTCAAAAGCTCTATCTATACATGTATGGGGAGAGAGGAATAAGTATCTAATCACTTATAACAATTTATCAACTCACTTATTCGACAAGGAAGCCATTTCTACACCTACTTTTATTCTTATCCATTGGGAAAAGGGACAAAGAATTAAACATAAAGATAAATCTAAGACTCCTCCACTACATGACAAATTGTGTTGATAAAAAGATGGGAAAATCTATGAACAATAAGCTGACATGGTTTCACTAACATAACAAGTAAAGTATATCACATTAAAATAACACAAGTGAATATGTGAAAAATTTTAAAAATTTAAACCAATATGAGTTCTGCTAAACACCTTCTATTATACATCTCATCTAACAAAAGTTTTCACTCTTCTTGGTAGAAAAAAACAATGTTGTCTCACCATCTGCTGGATATTTCTTTCCTTCTGGATCATCAGAAGAATCGGACTCCAAAGCTCTATCTATACATGTATGGAGACAAAGAAAAAAGTATGTAATCACTTATAACAATTTATCAACTCACTTATTCGACAAGGAAGCCATTTCTACACCTACTTTTATTCTTATCCATTTGGAAAAGGGACAAAGAAACATAAAGATAAATCTAAGACTCCTCCACTACATGACAAATTGTGTTGATAAAAAGATGGGAAAATCTATGAACAATAAGTTGACATGGTTTCACTAACATAACAAGTAAGGTATATCAGGTTAAAATAACACAAGTGAATTATGTGAAAAATTTTAAAAATTTAAATCAATATGAGTTCTGCTAAACACCTTCTATTATACACCTCATCAAACAAGAGTTTTCACTCTTCTTCTTGGTAGAAAAAAACAATGTTGTCTCACCATCTGCTGGATATTTCTTTCCTTCTGGATCATCAGAAGGGTCGGACTCCAAAGCTCTATCTATACATGTACAAAGAGAAAGGAAAAAGTATGTAATCACTTATAACAATTTATCAACTCACTTATTCGACAAGGAAGCCATTTCTACACCTACTTTATTCTTATCTATTGGGAAAAAAGACAAAGAATTAAACATAAAGATAAATCTAAGACTCCTCCACTACATGACAAATTGTGTTGATAAAAAGATGGGAAAATGTATAAACAAAAAGTGGACATGTTTTCACTAACATAAGTAAAGTATATCACATGTTAACATAACACAAGTGAATATGTGAAAAATTTAAAAATTTAAACCAATATGAGTTCTGCTAAACTCTTTCTATTATACACCTCATCAAACAAGAGTTTTCACTGTTTTTCTTGGTGGAAAAAAACACTGTTGGCTCACCAACTGCTTGAGATTTCTTTGTGTCTGGATGATCAGAAGGGTCAAACACCAAAGCCCCATCTATACAGAGAGAAAAGAAAAAATATGTAAGCATTTATAACAATTGATCAACTCATTTATTGGACATGGAAGCCATCTCACTACCTCTACTTTTATTCTTATCCATTGGGAAAAGGGACAAAGAATTAAACATAAAGATAAATCTAAAACTCTTCCATTACATGACAAATTGTGTTGATAAAAAGATGGGAAAATGTATAAACAAAAAGTGGACATATTTTCACTAACATAAAAACTAAAAAAAAGTATATCACATGTTAAAATAACACAAGTGAGTATGTCAAAATTTTAAAAATTTACACCAATATGAGTTCTGCTAAACACTTTCTATTATACACCTCATCAAACAAGAGTTTTTCACTCTTCTTCTTGGTAGAAAAAAACAATGTTGTCTCACCATCTGCTGGATATTTCTTTGATTCTGGATGATCAGAAGGGTTGGACTCCAAAGCCCTATCTATCTATACAGAGAGAAAAGAAAAATATGTAATGACTTCTAACAATTTATCAACTCATTTATTCAACAAGGAAGCCATCTCACTATCTCTACTTTTATTCTTATCCATTGGGAAAAGGGACAAAGAATTAAACATAAAGATAAATCTAAGACTCCTCCACTACATGACAAATTGTGTTGATAAGAAGATGGAAAAATGTAAACAAAAAGTTGACATGTTTTCACTAACAAGTAAAGTATATTACATGTTAAAATAACACAAGTGAATAAGTGAAAATTTTAAAAATTTAAACCAATGAGTTCTGCTAAACACTTTCTATTATACACCTCATCAAACAAGAGTTTTCTTTCTCCTGGTGGAAAAAAACAATGTTGTCTCACCAACTGCTTGAGATTTCTTTGCTTCTCGATGATCAGAAGGATCGGATTCCAAAGCCCTACCTATACAGAGAGAAAAGAAAAAAGATGTGATCATTATAACAATTTATCAACTCATTTATTCTATAAGGAGGCCATTTTAATACCCCTACTTTTTATTCTTATCCATTGAATGTATAGAAATAGATGAGGGCAGATAAGGTGGCACACGCCTGTATTCCCAGATACTCAGGAGGATAAGAAAAGAAAATCCCTCAAACCCAAGTCTGGAATTTAGGCCAGAGTAACATAGTGAGACTCTTTTTTATTTAAAAAATAGAAAAAAGTAAATGTTCCCTTTGAGTTGTGTAAATCAACTTGTGCATAAAATAAATCAAGATGGCAATACATTTTAAAGCAAGGCCTATTTTATAGACAAAGTATAAGATGTATTCTGGAGTTTAAAAATTTTTTAAAAAGTAAATTCAGCATATTTGTCACTTCCACGACATTCTGAAGACACAGAATCTTAGCTCTGTTGAGCAGCTGTCTTCCATAGTCATGTGAGATTCTCTGTCTTCATTCTTCATTAGGAATAAAGAGGAAGAACATACACAAGTCTTCTTTGTATTGGAAGGGGCCAAGAGACATACAAACTGTATTGTAATCCTAAAGAATAGCAATAAAGAGCCTTTTTTGTTCACTAATCCACACCATCACCCATCTATAAACACCACTACACAGGCTTTCCTTACACCAGCAACCAGAGTATAGTTTACACAAGTACTTACACATTTTGTGTATAAAGGTATATCAATTCACATATTGTTTATTCAAAATTCTTAAACATCTTGAAAGGTGAGTATGGTACTCCAAGTTACAATGTCACATTCATCATGAATGTTAATTATTCTACCTCTGGAAAAAACTAAGAGCCAAACCAATGTTGGTTTTTTGTTTGTTGCATTTTTTTTTTTTTTTTTTACTTTAAGTTCTGAGATACATGTGCAGAATGTGTAGCTTGTTACATACGTACACATGTGCCCTGGTGGTTGCTGCATCTATAAACGCATCATTGAGGTTTTAACCCCACATGCATTAGGTATTTGTCCTGTTTGCCGTCCCCTTACACACCCACCCAACAACGAATGCCCCAGTGTGTGTTCTCCTCCCTGTGTCCATGGTTTCTCATTATTCAACTACCACTTACGAGAGAGAATATGTGAAGTTTAGTTTTTGTTCCTGTGTTAGTTTGCTGAGAAAGATGGCTTCCAGCTTCTTATGCTTTACTTTCTTATCTTTGAACAAGATTCTATTGTCAGGTGGAGGAAGGAGAAAGGGGGAGCCATGGCAGCAACACCTCTTCCAGTTTAACCTTCAATCTTTATGTTACATGTTAAAAGTCTACATTGACGTTCATGTCTTTTGAAAGTTTTGACCACGAACCATCCTACCTCTCTTCTAGAACAAGAAGGTAAATAGTCTGTTAATCACCAGAATAAATCTAGAGACACATTTTGTGTTAAAGTAAGAATTTTAACGTCATCAGAGCCTCATAGGTAAATTCCTTGGAGGAAAACAAAAACCCATTTTTCTGCAGCCCTGGCCATGACTTTCATACCTTTCACGATTATTTAAGCACCCTCCCATTTTCTTTCCTTTTGCATTCAAATTACAGTTAGAAAAAAATAAGCACCTATCAAGGTGACTTAAAGCAACCTATTAAGAATATCCTATCATCTCTCCCATGGCAAACTTCATTCTGATTTCAAAGAAGAAATCGCCAAATATTTCAGTATGAATTGTCCTAAGATTTAGCTACTTTAATGAAGGAAATAATTAGGCACTTACCTGGTTCCTTCACTTAGGTACCATCTGGATAGGTACAAAAAGAATGAGATGGGTACTGGAAAGTTGGGGTATTTGAGTTTTTATTGACAAAACGAAGAGATATTAAAAAAAAAAAAAAAGCCTAAACAAAATCCACAGAATAATAAACAGAGCTACAGACAAGCAGAGACATAAATGGTCCAGGCCAGCCTGAGAAAAATGAGATGAGGGGGCAAGAACTGGGTGTTTGGGAGGGGAGGAGAAAAGTTGACTGGACTCCGTGGAGAAAGACTAAGTGGTTGAAAAAGGAACACAAGGCAGAACCAGCCTTTGTTTCTGACCAGCCCTGGAAAGCTGGCTACAGGCAAAAAGGAGCCTGGGTAGGGAATGGCCCCCAGGGGACCTTGAAGACAAGAGCAGCCAGAGGGGTGGCCAGGGCAGATGGCACCATCACCTCCTTACCTTCAGACATCTCCCCATCACAGATGTCATGCACAGGAAGGTCCTCACCAGCTTCAACAGTCAACTCAGCAGGTTCTATGGCAGCAGCAGTGGGTGCTGCTGCTGTGTCCTCAGCTGTTGCTTCACAGATTTTACACTCTGGAGGACACCCTGACACCTCATCATTGTCTGACTTGGGGCACACACAGCAGCACAGTATGTTCCCCATGGGGAACTCTACTCCTGTCTGCTGCCACCTGTGCCTCCGCTCACAGTGTTGGCCAGGCACTCCTGCTGCCCTAGGCCGAGGCTATGCTGCACTTTCAGAGATGGTCTTGCCCGCTGCTCACCTGCCCACCCACAGCCCGGCCCCAGCCGGGGCTCGGCCGAGGCCCGCACCCTGCTGCCTCTCCTAAGTTGACTTGTCTGGAGGGTCAAAACAGCTGACTAATTTAATAGGTTGGGAACCCAACAAGCGCTGAGTGATACAACTGCCTGAAGAGTACAAAGGAGCTACTACTACTCCTTCTTAGTCAAATACAGACTGAAGCCCACTGGCCCAGGTGGAAGCCCAGGCATGTGACTCACAGTGCCCTCCCGCACACCTCACAATGCTTACCTGGCTACTACCCCTCCTGTCTGCCCCACCTCACCCTGGCTGCCCACCCACTGCTCTCCTGGCCCCTCCTTCAGTGCCAGTGGAACTAAGGTTTTCATTCATCACCCACAGCTTCCTGAGCTTTTTAGTCCTAAAAACAGGGTGGCTCAATACTGGAAGCCATTTTCCTCTAGGATTCTATACAAAGTGGCAGTTAGCAGAGTGGGGTCCCATAGCAACCAGTTGACTTTCATTTGTTGACTCAATGTAATAAACCCTGAAATATTCCTCTCCTGTCTTTCAATGAGTGGTAGTTTTTGTCTGAAACTTCACCAAAGCAATCCCTGGGGCCCTAGCTCTACCTCACAAAGGAGTTATGACTGTGTGTTTTGAATGACACCTTAGAACCCATCCTGCCTCCACTCCTTCTCCAGAAAATAGAAACCTAACTTGTCCCCCAAGCTCTAAGTGCTGAAACTTACCAACTTCCTTTTCTCCTGTGTTCTTCTTCCATGGCAGGCTTTTAGATTTTCTCTCTTTTACTAACAACTTCTAAGTATGACTTTGTTATACAAAAATCAAGAGCCATTAGGTGGGTTACCAACGTCCTAACTCAATAAAAATGAATACTGAACACCTAGCAAGCATAGGTGCCTGATGTGTTCCAAGTGGGCTACGCTCATTGAGCCCTCAGAAACAATCTCACTAGTTTTAGAGAAGACACTAATGGAGAAGGTAAGTTATCTCCCCAAGGTCACATGACTGCCCAGGCTGGGGCCATTATTTGATCTCAGATAGTATGAATTCCCCAATTCCCTCAAGCGTGACTATCAGAAAGTGCATTATTCCATTTTCACCCTGCTATAAAGAAA